AAAAAGAAAAATAATTCAAACCATTATGATTAAAGTCTTACATATCTATAGGTCAACCAAAATACCATATTTGCTTAGCTTATAGAAGCAGTAGAAGCAAATTTCCAAAACATATTAAATTATCGACTATTAAGATACTCCGGTATCTTTCAGATACTATGATTACCTTTAACCAGACATGCATATCATATTCATTGAACTTAAAGACGTTGATTGAACTTATCATGCTTATTTATACCAAAGATTGAAGTTGAAATTACCTCAATTCGGCTTAATATGAGCGTCTATATCATAGTGTAATCGGACATCATTTTATGTCGCTTCCTGTTTCTAAAAACCGGAAGAATAAAACGAACACCTTCATTATTGATACTTTTTATACCTCAATTAGTCATTGATTTTCTTTAGTTTTGTTATGAAATAGAAGTGGAGCTTTCAAATGGAAACGAAAATAGTCCACACACGCAATCCATTTAATTGTGCTTATAATGAGCAAGATGATACCAAAAAAAAACAATAGTCGCTGACAAAAACTCAAAAGCATTGCGGTTTAGAAAAAAAAATATAGCAGAACAAATTCAGTAGGGAAAGAATGTAGTTTGAGAATAGACTGAAATTATATAAATTAAAATTTGTACCACATCTAACTTGGCTGCATTGCGAATTTAACGAATATATCTTGGAGCTTAACTTAATTTGCCTAAATAGATTGAATGGTATTAAAGGTAAAGTTTTAATACTATTTCTTTGCTACATTTTAGTTAAAATAATAAACTTTAAAATAATAAACCACGAAGAACTTTTAAATTTAATTCAAAAGGTAAACAAAATCATTATAATTATCTCATTTCTTTCTTTCTTTAAGTTTTGTTTTACAATTTACTTCAGATTTTTTATTTCATTTCAGTTGTTATGGTATTATATAAAAGCATTATTTGAATAGTTGGCAAACTCAATCTTTAAACTCTATATCTTCTCTCTAACTCTATCTTTAACCTCTATTTCTTTGAATAGTTGGCCAACTCTATTTTTTATACAAAATCCTAAAGTACAATGAGTGTTTTGTTTTTCTGTTTTCTTCGATTTGTGGTGATCGCCTTTTAACAGCAAAGAAGGAAGCAAACTAGATGGAAAATATGGCTTAATGACTTGAATAAACAAGATAGGGAGGCTGACTCAGTTTTTCAAAAAAATTTCTGGAGTTGGCTCACTATTCGAAAATGGCCTTCAGGAATCTATTGCTAAACCTGTCTAAATCTAAAAATTAAAAAGTCTTTATTAATTAGTATAAAACTGAAAAAAATAATTATAACCTTGTCAAAATTCGTATTTATATTTTTTTTTTAGAAAAAAGGTTTTTTTAATCCACTCCTTTTGCCGCGTTGGTTCAGGGAATTGAGAGCTTGCCTCGCAATCAAGTGACTTGGTTCGAATCCCAGCAGTGGCTGGTAGATACAAATTCTGCTCCCGGTTGGCGCCAACCTTAGTGCTGACGTAAAATATCCTCAAAGGTTGATGGATCTTGGGTTAGAATCCCCTACCCGTCGGGTTAACTATGGGAGGTTTTCGTAATTTTCCTCTCCATGTATCGCAAATGCGAATTAGTTCCATCAAATAGTCCACGAAGGCTAGCTCGTTCCATTGCTTGTTTGAGTGTTCTTTTGTCTTCTGAGTTAAGTTCAAAATTACAAGAATATGGCGTTGAACATTGATTGCATTGGGTTCAAGGCCGATGGTAAAATAAAATAAAAATCCATCCTATTTATATGCATTGTACTCTCTTTAGTTCTGTGATACATTTTCCTTCATTAGAAATATTGGATTATAAATCCGGAAGTTACAAATAATTTTCAATTTTCTTGATATTATCTAAGCGTAATATTTTGCAATATATAAACACAATTATTTTTAATTTATATAATTTTGTGAAACTTTAATCATCACTATTAGAATTCTATTTATTTATCTCTTCTCCTTCATTAAGTTAATGATTGATATAGCGTATTTATGTGTATATTTCAGCACAAAAACATACAGTTTACGGAAAGAGAGAGAAAAATGCTTGCACTTCTGTGTCATTTTTTACCGTTTCATATCAACAACACCTGGTAAACGTTTAAACTAGATTTCATCATATTTTGATTTCACATGAGAGAAAGCTTAAGAGATTATGGAATAATCATCTTGACATTTCAACGAAACTTGACGTCTACTTGCGTACAAATGAATGCCAAAGTTGAGTGAGTGCTTATTTGAATCGCGTATTTATATTTAAATAATTTTAAGAAAAAATCCTTTTGATTTAAAAACTTTTGATTTCAGCTCAAAAGTTTGAAAAAAAATACAATTTGCAACTTCGATTTTCGAAATAAACTGCAAAACTATATTTTCTTTTAAATATTGATTTGTTTTTTACGCAAAATTCAGTATAAAAAATATTTAGGTAAAAAACTAAAATTCGAATTTTTTTTCATTCAAGATATTTGATACTGAAGACATTAATAATAATTAAGACATTTAATAATTAAGACATTTAAGACAGATAAATAAGACATTTTAACCACTATATTATTTTTTACATTGTTACCTGCTTTAGTACAACATTATTTTATTCTTTCTTTTCAATATATACGTACGAAAACAATGTACGACAACAACATACGCTTCAACATACAATTAATATTTTTAGTAATGGTTAAACTTAATATTACTTATAAATGATGGCATAATAATTCAGATAAAAAAAATATTTACTCAGTTACTCGAAAACATTTAAAACGCCCAATATGTAATACATACTTTACTTCATGCATTATTTTATATATGTTCAAAAAAGCATTAATTTAAACATATCCATCATATTGAACGGATATATCAATTTGCTACAATTTTGCTTTCGGCATCATACCAACCTGTTTTAAGACAGTAAAACTTTTTTTCATTCAGCTAATCAGATAGCTACACCTTACTTTTCGGCATCATACCAAACTGTTATAAAGTTGTAGAACTTCAACAAAGCAATAAAAATTCGTTCATTCATTTCATCAGATTGCTACACCTTTGCTCTCCGAAATCATAACAAACTGTTATAAAGCAATAAAAACTTTTTCATTCATCTAATCAGATTGCTACACCTTTGCTTTCCTCCATCATACCAAGCTGTTATAAGACAAAAAAAATTTCATTCATCTAATCAGATTGCTACGCCTTGCTTTTCAACATCATTCCAAACTGTTATAAAGCAGTAAAAACTTATTTATGCTTTTCAACATCATTCCAAACTGTTATAAAACAGTAAAAACTTATTTATGCTTTTCTAAATCATTCCAAACTGTTATAAAGTAGTAAAAACTTATTTATGCTTTTCGACATCATTCCAAACTGTTATAAAGCAATAAAAACTTATTTATGATATTCGACATCATTCCAAACTATTATAAAGCAGTAAAAAAATTTTTATGCTTTTCAACATCATTCCAAACTATAAAGCAGTAAAAACTTATTTATGCTTTTCGACATCATTCCAAACTGTTATAAAGCAGTAAAAACTTCTTTATTACTCTAATCAGAGTTCTATCACCTTTGCTTTCCGGCATCATGCCAAACTAGTATAAAGCAGTAAGATGGTGAAAACGAAGTTGAACGTTGGCAGCCGTAAACTCAAAATTAGGCCGGCTGTTCAACGATGGTTAAAAGATAAAATAAAATAATAAAACAAAGAAAATAATGCGTGTAAAATGTTTCAAAAACTTTTTTGGAACTCATTCAAACTTTAAATAAAATAAGTTTAAATAAAATCACTACTCTTTCTATGAACTATCAATTCGTACTCGAAATAATGTACTCAGAAATTTTCTTCATTATATAGTTTTAAGCCACCTTAAGAATAAATTTAATTAAGTGGAAAATAGAAAAACAAAATTATCTGATGACTATGGTTTTCATGCAAAAATTTTAACCCATTAACGTTAATTAGTTGAGATGAATCTAAGATAAAAATAATATCCTACTTTATTTATCAGTAAACGATAGAAATACTGCTTAATTTTACCATAAATAGAGTTGCCAAAGAAATTATTGTTGAACAATCACAGAGGGTTTGAAATTAAAGTGCTTTTTACTTCACTAAATGAAGAAATAAGTAAATAATCAATAAATCAGTACTAAATAACGCTTAAATCAGGCACAGAACTAAAGACGACACAATTAATAAAGCTTAAATAATTCCATTTTTTATTATTATTGTTTTTTACCGTTGTTTTATTCTGTTAGATTGGGCAAAATACGCTATTAGTAGTTTGTTTTTCAAAATAAAGATTAACTGTATTCAGTTGTTTAGACTAACTTCATAACAAAATTCAGACGATTATCAAGATTAGAGGTGCGGAGTTGTGCGATATTATGCAAGGTAAGGTCTTTTATAATTTCTCTAAGGGTGACAAGTTTTTCGTCCGGTGAAAATGATTCGGATATTAGAAAATTAAAAGCTTTAAAATGCCTTACTGCTAAAAGAAACTTATAAATAAATTGAAATTTTATCATTTTTTAAAATCATATAAAATAAACAAATAGCATTTAAATATATGTTTTTTAACCATGTTTCTATGTATATATAACGTTAGATTATCTTACTTCATAATGATGATTGATTCGTATTCTTTATTTCTATGACATTTCAATAGATGTAAAAAGTTATTGTTGTTTTTTCAATTCCAAAATATAAAGAACAAATGTTTTTAAACTTAAAAGATCATATCTACATATCAAAATTTTTAATTATTATTCATATAATAAATATTACCTCCCGTCTTTAAAAAGGAAGTAACTGCATTAAATTCTGTGATTTTTTAAAGGAGTGTAAATTCAAAAATACATTTCTATTTATTTTGAGATATTCGAATTAATATTCGATCGCTTTTGATAATGCTGTGGCTTAGATTGAAAGATAGTACATTGTTATACGTCTTCGACTCGAGCGTGTATATTTGTACAGACTAAAGATAACACCTTAAGTAAATGCCTTTAAGGAATATTTTAGGAGGCTTAATGCAGATACCATAATTTCTTACGTATTTCTGTGAAAATATTTAAAGAAAGAAGAAAATTTGATTTATTTATGTTTTATTTGCTAAAATGAATCTTCACATGAACGGTTGAATTTGTAAGTATATTAAACATTTTTTCACTATTAATTACGTCATTGACGCAAACACAAGTTTCGTACTTATTAAAATATGCTTGAGATATAAATACAAAATTATGCAACTTGTTTAGTCTTTGGGGAAATATTATTATGCTCCTATTAAGATATAATAAACTTTTAGATATAAATAATAAGAATTCTACTTTTGAACGATGTTCTCTTTTATTAAAATCACCATTTGTTGGCCATACACAATTCACATGCTAAAATTCTTTTCCAAAATAAAGCGAATATTTTTAATGTTGTTGATATTATTATGATTGCTCATTTTATTGCTTAAGGATCTAAAAATAAATAATCCATCCTGCTGAAGATTCCCGTGTCGTAAATGGTGACTGTTCCACGTTAAATCTGCCGGGTCACAAAGTCCTCCATGTTACCATAACAAAGCAATACCCCTCCTGGTACTGAATTGGAGATTGGTCGCTCTCTCGTTCAGGTCAAAATTACGATCTGTGGATGTATAACTGGGTTCGCCCAATAAACGGGTGTGACGTATGAGTGTGGCAAAAATCGAATTCTTGGCCATAGATGGCGCCACTGGAAAACAAGAACAATCGCACCCCCAGTGCCTTAATGGACTACGACAACAACAACATTGAAATTGCCTGAATTAATTTCATAAAACAATAATTTACTATGGCATTACTTTTTTTTTAAATGTTTCCTTTGAAAATATTTTTAATTTTATTGCAAAGGTAATACTTTTTAAAGATAATTGATTCAACCTAGAATTATATTTATTAGTAAGACTCTATCCACATTCCTCGCATCGCAACCTTTGTCTTTTATTGCAAATGCTGGTAGAACTTCAGCTCAGAAAATTTTGAGCCCTGCCGAGGCAAAGATAAAATTGTGGCCAAGATTTGGCGTGAGAACAATCCGAAACGAACTTATTTAATTCGCTGGTTTCCTTTTCATATTTGATTCATTAATATAAAGATAGGATAAGAAAAAGGATCGAGTTATAGGATCGATATATCGGCGAAATACAAAACAGCTGAGTACGAATTCTGGTAGAAAAGTGAAGTGGAGAAAGAAGTTCGGTGAAAAAATATCCAGTCAATGATAAAATACGAGCCATAATGAAGACAATTAAAGTTCAATAATGATGCTTATATCATGCTACTCTGTAAAAAAAAATTCCGGGGGATCAAATAACAGTATAAAGTGCCGGCAGCTACTTTACAATCCAACAGTTTTAATCGACTCGTTCTTTTTTTAATGATTTTTCACTTGATTGTTGTTGGTCACAATTCTAATGCAAGCTTTTATTTCTTTTAAAATTAGCTACCTGGACTAAAAAATTTCAGGAACCAAGTTGTTGTTTTTTATTTTTATTTAAGAAAACGCCAAACAGAACAGCGAGTCGTTAAACACCACTGGATTGGAAAATCGCGTACCGGGATTTCGGGTGCATCATCCATGAAATCCATTTTTACCGTAAAATATTAGACCGTAATTTTTACAATAATATTTATTTAATCAAAGTAATTCAGTGATTTTATAGTAAATAACACTGAAGATATTACGGTATATAAGATTTTTTGTTCCATAGCATGTTCCGGTAAAAATTACTGTGCCTTTTAACTGTAATTTGATCCGGAACTTTTTACAGAATTATTTAGTCTTTTAACTCTAATGCATAACATTAGCAAACTATTTTTTAATATCACAGCATTAAATGTTGCAGATTTATTACTATATGTAAACAAATTACAATAAAGATTACAAACATTTATTCTAGATTATGAAAATCCAGATTCTAGAGTTAAAATTTTTAATGCATGATTCTGATCAATTAACATAGCTTTTCCTGATACTTTTAGCTTGGAGCTAAAAGTATTTACCTAATAAGGCTTTTCAGTGAAAACAGGAATAATCATAACAGTTGTCTTTTTATTTATGTCGTAAATAAAATAAGATTTTTCGACAAAGCAAATAATTTTTTCCTGGGTGATTTCTCAAGAGGGTCGTCAGAACACCATTTCTCATCTCGATTCTGCTCAGCTCTAAGATTCCATGAGACAATAATGAAACTTCGCAAGAATTATTAAATGAATAGCTAATAATTGATTTTGAAAAAAAATATTCATATATATTTACATTTTTGAAAAAAAATTGCCTCCCATCAATATCAATATAATGTCAAATTAAGACATAATACGAAGAATATGAGAGGCGATTTACTTCTTTAAGTTCCAAATAATAAAAATAACTACAACGGATTCTAATTCTCACATTTAAGGTAACGAAATATAATTTAATCATTTAGTGGTATTTCGTCATTCTTCATTCTGAAAAAAAAAATCATTCTTAGAAAAGTAATAAACTTATATGGGTGTATTTTTAAGATGAAAAATAGTTCTCTTTTTCAATAAATAAAGCAAAATTTAAAAATATTAGAATGCTTCAATTGAAAACGAAATCTATATCAATTTAAATTACTACTCGGCATAGGATTAGATATTGTACAATTATAAAATTGAGGCAAAATTTGCCTTCTAAAAGTAATTAAGTATAGTGACTATATTAATTAAATAATTCCAAAAAATTGAAGTGGAAAAATAATACTTGATTAAAAATTTCATTCCCTTTAAAAATATACAAATTAGAAACAACAGTCAACACGTTTCAAACGCTAAAAACAGGTGCCCATTTTCAAGACTTGCCAGGCATGAATGCTAAAAAACAATTACATTTTTTTAATTTCTTCTCATTCACGCCTGGCAAGTCTTGAAAATGGTTGCCTGTTTTTGAGCGCTTGAAACATATCAACTGTTATTTCCACTTGCTTATTTTTGAAGTGAATGACGTTTTTAATCAAGTAATATAGTGACTACATTTTGAAGGTAGTTCGTAGAAATTTAAAAAAAAATTGCTGTTATTGTAGATAACTATACATTTCATATTATATCCGTCGTTGAACAGCCGACCCAATTTTGGGTTAACGACTACTAATGTTCAACTCCATAGCCTTGTAATTTTGAACCCAATCCAGAGGATAAGGGAACTCCTGGATCGAGTATTGGGAGAAATTTATTTTCGTGGAGGACTATTTGATGAAGCTAACTCGCATTTGCGTTGCATGGAGAGGAAGATCATGAGAATCTCCCACGGTTTGCCTGAAGGCAAGGGAATTCTAACCCATGATCCGTCTACCACTGAGGATATTTCACGTCAGCACTGTGGTCGGTGCAAGCAGGATGCGGAATTCGTATCGACTGGGATTCGAACCCAGTTCGCCGTATTGGAAGGCGAACGCTCTATCCCCTGAGCCATCGCGGCTCTAGTTAACTATACATTTGTAATAAAATAGTTGTATTGTGCGGCTTTGAGGAGAACTCCTAAAGACTTAAAGTCTGGTACTGTCTGCTGCTATGCAAGTGAGAGCACATTTCTAATGGGGGTGCAATGAAGTCGATTGGTTTACTTACTAGTATTACCTATGCCAAGATCAAGACAAAACTATTCACTTCACCCCACACCCCTATTTGAAGTGACTTTTCCTTGTAACCATGGTACCTGCCACGACGAGCGACTGGTGTCTGAAGGAGTTCTCCTGAAAGCTGCACTATAGCTAACTAGGAAAATAAAAAATGTTTTTACGACCACTGATATTTTTCATTCATTATCTGTTTCAGGACTCGAAAAAAAAAGTCAAAGAAAATATGAATTTCTATTCCTCATTCTCTCTCTTGGCAATTACGATGGCGTCACTTTATTTCTTAACCTCTGGTGCGAGATTCACAAGAAATGAAGCGAGGTGTGCTGTTCTTTGCTTGAACAAGATGAGTGAAGAATGCCGAATTTGCAACACCAGGATACCTATGAGATTTGGAAAACGAAGCGGAGATTCGCCAAATGGGCTTTTTAACGCCTTGGGGATTGAACCTAAAACGGACTATCGCATCCTTGAAATATTTGAAGGTGACAGTCCCGATTCAAGCTTTTCAGACGAAGAGTAAAAAAGCCAAAATCTTTTTCGATGTACCTAATTATGTTCATTTGTGCACGAGTAAAACATGTATGTTATTTATATTAAGTAGTAGATATATGTAACAATCAGCTCAGTTTTCTTGTCTCATTCATGAAGATTTTGTGTACGAATATTTTTTTCTTCCCTTTCCTTAAGACTCGATGGAAGTAACAATCATAATGTATATTGTTTCAATCACTAACTATATTATATTGCACAATTTTCAATTAAATTTGTCAATAAAGTTTATTAAACAACCCCATTAATATTTTCATGTGAAATATAAATGAAAACTTAAGTGTCGGATCGAGCAAAGTTGATAACACTTACAAAATCCAACTATTTTCACCAAGATAAACATATCTTGCTAATAGTAATCGTTTATTAATGTAAGCTCAAATAAAGAAAAAAAAATGTATAGTTCTTATATTACTTGATTTTTTCCCTCACACTTATATAAAAAAAAATTTAAAAACTGAGTACACAAATGCTAAAAAATGTAACAAGAGCTTAATAAAAGAACATTTTATGGAGAGCTGTAAGTAACAATACGTTTATAGTTGGAAATAAAAAATATTATTTTGCTAAATATTATTGAATGAAAGGTGACCATAGGCAACTATTGAATTTCGAAAATATCAATGTTGTTCCTTGCATGACACACCAGCTCGTCTTGATGTCCCCCCCCCCTCCGAGTCTTGTTTCATTTATATGAACGTCGATTATCTAGTTAATGGTCACAGACAGTTCTACCCCAAACCTACATTGCTCATGGAAATGCATTCAACCTTGGCACCATCCCTTCGGGTATCATGGTTCCGCTTAGGTTTTTTTTCCCCCATTAATTTTTCTCCATACTCTTCGTTGTCCACAATGGCTTTCCTTGTTTATAACCTCCTCCTTTTTCATTATTCAAGTGATATTGTCTTGACCAGAAGGGACGTATTCAAGCGCTCAAATCATACACACATATTCTTCACTGCAAATTGGAAAATAGAGCTTCTATCATAGCTTTCCATCTATCCATTTGTGGGCCGATATTTTGACAGCTCTAATCATGTTGGCCTTTTATCCATTTCAACTTCTGTAGATAAAGACAAAGTTCACTGAGAGATCCTTACATTTGCCGAAAAAACACACTGGAAGGCTCTGCATTTATGTTATAAAATTATAGATTTTACTATCTTTTAATGCTGATTGTTCTTTTTCTATAAGATATTCCCTTTTACCAATAATTGATGTAGCAAATATAGATAAATATATATAGTGAAAAGTGATTACTCAAACTCAAATTTCGTAGCATTAACCGTTGAAAAGGCGATTGGGAAACAAAATTGACTTACAATGGACTATTGAGGGCATTAAAAAGTGATGACTCAAAATTGCAATTCAAAATTTCTCAAGAAAAAAAAAAAATTTTGTTCAGAAGCTCTCGCGAGCGCAGGTTGTTAACCCAATTATTACAAAAAAACATTGCTAGAAGTACAAAAAAGTCTCCCAATAGTCTTCTATTCCTGAAAATAGTTGCTCTTTTAGCCTTTTCAGGTAAAATTTTTTTAAAAAAATTGCAAATAATCACATTTAAGTCACCTGTGGCAACCTTGGAGAAGAGATTTTCTCAAAATGCCGCTAAATCCACAAGCTCGAAAATGTAACCAACTTGAAATATTATATAATTTAGTTATTCTGAAAAGTTTTTCTTTTGACTTAGTAGTTCTGTCATCTATATGAAGATTTTAAATTTTATTTATAAATAATACAGTCGAGAACAAGCAGATCCATAAATGTGTATCTTGATACGTATAGCGAAATTTTTGACAGCGTAGTAAAGTGAGAATTATGAGTACTCAATTTTATATCTATTTAGCAATATTTTTATGTGTATTTTAATTAATTGTTTTATATATACCTTAAATACATACATCAAATAACTTTAAAACTTTTTGTGTTTTTTCCATAATTTTGAAGCTTACCCCCCAAAATTAATTTTTTTTTACAGTTAATGTTAGATTCCTTTTAATAATTATTTTAAGTGGTTTGCATAATTAAAAGTTTTGAAACAGAGATTTCATACGTTATGCACTGGTAAGCATTTATATTTCATTTAGTATTGCATCTCATTGTAAAAAAATTCCTATTTTTTTACTATAATTATTAAATCTATTCATCATTGTATTTAAATACACCATAATATAACATTTGTTCCTACTTTAGGTGCAATTTAACATCTGAAATATTTATATTATTTCACTTAGTTAAAACCTGAGGTCCACGTATATGTACCTAAAATTATTAACCACTTGGCAGCATAATTCATATTTTTGTTATGATATTTATTCATTATGACTTATAGCAGTACAATAGAAATCCCGAACTGTAAACTATTTTCTTTCTTCTGTATTCTCTTATACTTCAGTAGCAATGGAGGTTAAATAAAAAGCAAGACTAATAACATTGAAAATAAATCTTTTAATCAATAGTTTCTATATTTATGTACACAGTATTCGAATGAAACAAGTAAAAAATACATAAATGAACTACCAAACACAATAACAAACATTCAAATAATATACTTTTTTACCACACATCTATTGGAGGCAGTAATAAACAAAATATATATAATTCATTTAAACATTTATTTATACAATGACTATTTACAAATGAAAATTTTAAAATTAGCAATAAAAATCAAAACTATGTCATGAAGAATTAGTGAGATTAAAATCAAAATTTACAATCAATGACAGAATTAAGTAAATACATAACTCAACAGCACCAGTTACATTAATGATAAATCACTTTAATGCACATGGATACCATGCTTACACTAACATACAAAAGGAAAAAATTACTATTTATTCCAAGCACTTACGTAAGAATTCATAATTAGTATTCACAGATAAAGCAATTATGATCTAAATTGGAACTGGTAAAAATATAACTCATTATATTGTTACTATTTTTCTTATTTTAGTATAATGTGTCTATATTTACAACTGAAAATACACGTAATTAAATTAATTTGCACTGATAGTTTATAGTATTTTTCCAAAATACTATGGTTTTAATAACCTTAAATGACAATTCAGCGAAAAACAAAGTTTCTTTTCTCTCAAATCTACTCTTTATTCAATGTTAAAAAAAACACATAAATTTATTAATATTTGAACACATAAAAATGTCAGTATTAAAAGAATGTGTGACTGAAATTTTAAAATTTTAATTAAAAAACAGTAAAAAAAAAAAAGAAATACAATTAAAATTATAGTTTTAACACAATCAGTAATTTATACTAAACTTATCATTAAGAAATGAAAGATTATTAATATTTTAAGTTTATTCACTGAATGCTTAATCCTAAAATATAGTTGCAATATTTTAAAATAATTTACTTCATTAAAAATAAATTTTAATAATTTATAATAATAATAAATAAATTGTAATAATAAATTGTAAAACAAAAGAAAAACATAATAATTTAACAAAAGGTACTTTATTAAAAGCTTATTCCACAATTATTATTACTTTATTTTATCATGGCTATTTATCTTTGTACTGAACATATCATATATTTCTCTAAATCAAATCAAAATTGAGCTGATTGATAAAGAATAAAAAATGAGATAAGAAGTAAATTGTAATTACTATGATAATAACATAGTGCAATATTTCATAATCCTTTTTATGACAAACACTAAATTAATTTATCGACTTATTAATAAATAAATTTAGCCGAAATAATTTTCTTTTACTATGATCCACACAACATTAGCAATACTTAATAAATGCTCCTTTAACAGCTAAGTATTGNACCATTGCAGCTAAATCTATTGGTCATACAGCTCATCTTACTACTTATCTCAATTAACTGTTTTTAAAATTTGTGATAAAAAATTCACCAAAATTTAAAACTCATCTAAAATGGTTTTTACTTATTCTTTAAAAATAAATAGGGCTTAGAAATTTACACTTATGAGAAAAGATAGTAGAGAAAGAAATTGCTAATCCAATATTAATGCAATGACATTTTGTAAGTAAAAATTATTATTATTTGAAAAGAAACACATTTAGGTTTAGTAACAATATAAAACTTAACAAGCAAAAAGAAATTAAACTTAAAAGTTAAACAATATAATGAGAGCTTTAAGTGCAATAGTATCACAGTTGCATGACTATATTTGGTTTGTAAAACATAATAATCTAAAATTTTAATTACTGCACTTATTTTGAGTTTAAAGATACTGATACAATTATAGCTAGAATGACTGCAATGACTACTAGAATTACAACAAAACAACACAATTTCTTTCGGTAAGCTGCCTAAAACAGAAAAAAATATTGCAGTTTAATATTTATTTCAAAAAAGATATACAAAACAACAAGAAAAATATTATTAAACTATTATAAGCTTAATAAATATACTTATTTAAAAAAAATGAGCAGTTTTTAAAAAACTTATAGCACTTAGGAAAAAATTTTACTTAAAAATAGCAAACAATAAATAAATTTTGAAGCTATAAAAATCTTTATATTAATAAAATAAAATAAAACCTTTATTAAGATTTATATACTTTATGATATAATTTCTACTAGGGACAAGAAAGAAGCAACATTTGTCTCAGTAGAAAAGAAAATATTTAAGCTTAAAGAAGATATTTTTGGAGAAAAAAATTTACAAATCTTCTACATCATCAATAATAAAAAGATGCAATTATAGCATTAGCTCTGCTTACCTTTATAATAAAAAAAAACTGAAAACATTATCCATACTTAACTTTATAGATAAATATCATAAGATTTTTTTAAATTATAACAACAAAATAATGTTTTTGGTTTAAGGAGGACTTTTCTACAGAATGCTTAGACTACTTCTTGAAATTTCACTGTCTATTTAGCACTCATTTGCAGTTTAGCAAACGTTTTTATAGTAATCATCATTTAAACAATAGATAGTGTTCAGAATTTTGTTGCTCATTCATGATTTGGCTTATTTATGTAACAAACAGAAAACTATTCCATGTTAAAAAAATGATCACAAAACGTGATGAAATGGGATCAAAAGCAACAAAATGTATGAAGTTTTTTTTAACACAACTAAAACTTAGAAAAAAATATATATGAATAAAAAAATTAAAAACTTATTTCTACCTGATAATTTCTTGCTTTTAAAAGTTGTTCCCCTCCTTCTTCAACATTGTAAGCAGCTGTAGTTATATTTTCTTCAATGGAACCTATAAATAATATTAAGGGATTATCACTATGATTTTTCATACTTAATTGTACAATTAATACCTAAAGATGAGGAATATTAAATATTCATATTTGGGACTTGTATTCTGAAAATATAAGTTCCAAACATGAGAGTTTTTGTTCATAGAAGTATTTTGCTTCTAATATGAAAAAGAACACAATAAATATTTAACTGTAGTTCAATGTTCTGCATGACAAAAAAATTTATAAACAAATAAAATAACTGATTTTTAAAAATACTAATTCTTAAGTATATTAATTTTAAAAACAAGATTGGATAATAAAATGATTAAAATTTAATTATTGAAAATTGAATGACTGACTCACAAACTGCACATAAATTAAATAGGGCAACACTTAATTTTGCAAAAGTCTAAAAACTGGTAGTAAGCAAACTCTCTCAAGTTAATATGTATGAATTAACAAGAAGAGACAGTCACAAATAGTTTATTCTTACAAAATAAAAGAAATAAAATGTTTTTCCTACTAGCACATTATATTTACTGAAAATTTTCAAGTAACTGCTACCCATAGAATAAAAACATGACAAAACATAACCATTTTACAATAAAAATGTAGATACTACTTAGATCTATAAAGGTATAAAATATCATTAAAATTACGCATAGATTTACTATTAAATAAATAAAAAAAATAACACTTAGATAAAGATATTAAATCAAAAATTATGCAACACTGAAACCTTATGTTTCATTATAAAATGATAAAATTGAATTTATAACTTGGAATCAATTATCTAGTTTTTGGTTAACTTAGAACTAGCTGCAAGGTTAAATTAGAATTTTTTATCATTCTGCATTTGAATTGCTAAAAATGTTTGCTCATAATATTTCATATTTGAGTTTTTGCTTTCCTATAAGGTGAGAATAAGTTTTAAAATACCTTATTGAAAGGGATAATAAAATTTATTTGCTGTAATTTTTTATTTCTTTTCCTATTAGATAATTTTTTTATTACTTATTTTTTTTTAAATAACGTAGGAAATATGGAAAAAAATTATCCTAAGTTAGTTGCAAGTAATAAAATTTCATAAATCTTAATAGTGATGGGGAAGAAAACTTATCTTAAACAAATTACTACGGAAATTCTGAAAATCAGTAATCTTTAATATGCGGTTGCAAAACTGTAATCTTGACTAATAACTAAGGATAAATAGTAATAGCTGACAACTCTAGGAAGGTAGTGATTACAAAAACAGTTTTAAAAATATTTAATTTTCATTAAATACAAATATTTATAAAAAAAACTATAATAAAGCATATTTTAATAAATTAAATAATGATACGAGAAATTAAATGAAGCCAATCCATACCTATAGTAGTGCCTTGTTCATGTACCATTGCAGCTAAATCTCTAAATACTACATTGACATCTAACATATCTGCTTCAATTTGCCTAATTTTTTCTGCTCTTTCAAGCAGTAAGCCCTAAAAAAAAGTATGGAAGAAAATTATAAATCATAATTCTTGTCTACTAATTTTTATGTCTTCTTTTATAAAGCATCTTATCTTCTTATCTTTTATAAAGTCTACCAGCGTCTTATCGTTTATAAAGCCCTGGTTATTCAGACCCTCTTCAGACTTGCACTCCCAGACATATAGGAGGGGTTTGACTTTTCATTCCTCCACCTTTTTCTTTTTTTTTTACTTTTAACATTATTTTAAAAAATAACAATAAAACTGATTCTCTCCAATTTATATTTCATCATGTGTGATTCCTAAATATCATTTATATGAATTGTTTATTTGTAAACAAGCATGCACAACCTTAATAGCGGCCACAGAAGCTAAAATATGAAATGTTGTGGGCCAATGTGAGAAAAATAAAACTATGACTGCAAAAACGTAAGGTGTATTTAGATCCTAATTGTAACTAACGTGAATATACATAGTAATATGTAACATGTACAAAAAAGTGCATAAGAACTCAAATTATTATGGAATGAAGAAATTCACGGGATGGTGACAATCAAGTTTGCACTAAAACAATAACTAAATAAAAAAGTAGAAGGACCAGTTCCAAAAAAATACTGCAAAAAAGACTCTTTTTCATTTTTTTTTATAAAAAAGAAAACTTCATATATTTTTATTAATATTTAAAACTGTTCAAGAGCCAAGTCAAACTTGAAGGCCAGTTCTGGCCTACAGACCATAGGTTATTCATCCCTTTTGTAAGTCCTATGAGTATGAATCAGTATTCAGGATTTGTTAATATTTAAAACACAACATGATATTTTCGTCCGTCGAAAAAATTAGATATCGTTTATTATTTAATTTATGATTATTGTTATCTATTTTTATCAATTTTACTTACACTTTAGTATTTTTATACTTTAAGAATGTAAATAATAAAGTATTCATAATTGAGTGATAATTCAAATAATTTATATAATAAAATTAATGTATTATTTTATGGGAAATCATAAAAAAAAAAATTAACTAGATGGAAATAATGAATAGCAGAGAACCAATAAAATTAAAAATTTAAGTAACAAGTTTACAGTTAAAATTTTATAGATCACTTTACAGAAATTTTTGTTGGGGAAAAATGTATATTCTTAATAAATGTTTCCTTATAAAAACAATTTTCACTAGGGTGTAAAAAAAAAAAAGAAAAAACTTGTTTTGTTTGAGAAAGAATATTCTTTTAATAATATTAAGAAATTATTCCCAATTAACATAATTTTCCTTAATTAAAATCTGGTTTTTTCCCTAACAGAAATTATTGAATTTTAAACATTGGAAAATGTTTAAAGAAAGTTCTCAATGAAATTAGATTTCTTAGACAGTACATATAATGCACTATATGTTTATTTGTAAATTTTTATAAAATATAAAAATATTTCTCACATACAGAAAAACATGACTATTAAGGCTATCACACTTTGGTAATAAATACAAATCCCAAGATATAAAAAAACACTTAATTTGCTATAAAACTGTCTGTGCATTCTAGCTTAACGTAAAAATTCAAAAATTTTGCAGCTCTTTGAAAGTGAAAATGTTACAGAAGACTTTAAAAAATTTAGCTTAGTTTAATACGAAAATAATTTTTCCCTTATTGGTATCTTGTGTTTTATAAGTGCAATTTTACTTTATTTTTTGCATAACAAATTAGAAGAAAAAAAAAACAAGTGGTTAAAAATAACACAATTGCTAAAAAGGAATTACACAAATTAATACAATTTATAAATATAACATACTTGTTCGAATTCTAACTCTTCTTGTATTTGATATTGCTGTATTCTTTCAGCTTGAACTAAAGCTTGTTGATCTTCATCATCTTCTTCGTCCCATACATTTCTACTAACATTTTGATTTTGTAGTACAGCCTGCTTCATCTTAGGATCCAATTGCTAAAGTATAAAATATTCAATAAATTTTACTTATATCAAAAATATATAGTTCAAAATCCTAACCTATAGTATGACGAGATTTAAAGCTTTAAAAAATTACTTGTTTATATATACGTCTACAACTAAACTGTCCTATATAGTACATATAAGTAGCTGATGCAGTAATTGAGAAACTGCACTCTCATTATGTAGAACCAACGCCGAAATAAAACTCTAGACATTTATTACCTGATCACAAGATGGACAACAAAAGGAACAGAAATCACGTTTGTATCTTGTGGTACATTTATATTACAAAACTTCATAATGGTATCAAATATTTTAAGATTTTTTAGTTGTATTTTTATTATGTACGAGCAAAAAAATCTATATTTTGCATTCTGTTTGAGGTCAAAAGTAATCCATTTTACAACTATGTAGTTACGAAGATAAATGAAATGTAAATATTTAGACAACAAGCCTCTTATTCTAAAATAAAGAAAATCTTCAGCACAGGAGACTGCAGTGTCACAACTAACAGAAAATTTGGCCTGAGTTCTTCGAAAATTAATATTATAACTTATTAGTTAACTCCTTAAAATATATACTCCCCACTGATACAGAGCTCTTTCTAAAAAAATCAGAGAAAACAAAATATCATATATTGTGCATAGCTTGATCAAAAACTTGAACCACAATTTAAGATTTTTTTTTTTTAATAAAACCTGCTCTGCACTCTGTTTTATTAAAATATGCTGGTCATGTTACAAGACCCAAATGCGGTCTTAAACTAGTCAATGTCACTAAACATTGCAGCCAAAAACGAATTGAAAAACTGATAATATTCTATTTCCAAAATTTATTGATACTTGTGATAATAATTACTACTGATGTTGTGGCAATAGGTTCCAAATGCGTCCTACTTGGTTAATTATTTAAGTACCATCGGCATCAATAGAAGTTAGGCAATTTACTAAAAAAAGTTGGGTATCTTTTCCCAAAATAATTGATTTTTCAAATATTGCACATATAGTAAAATTTTGAGAATGCAAGCATTTTAAGAGTGCACCTTTACAATAATCAATAAAATAATTACAATATCAATTATAAATCCAATAAAAATAAATCTAACTAAAATATTTGCAACAGTAAAAAATTATTCAATACTTAAAGATATTTCTAGTTTTCAGTTAAAACTAGAAGAAATTAAATCCTCAGGGATGAGAGTAGTTGGAAAGTAAAAAAGAGGAAATTCAAGAATGAATATATATATATATATATNGTTTCTCGTATCATTAGATATATCTTAGTCATAGAGTTTAAATACCTCAGAAATAGCATTGATAACACGAATCAGAAAGAAAAAACTGTCTATAGCAAGAATCTTCAAAATACAGTCAGACCTCGATATAAGGTCATCCGCATATAAGGTCACTTTTCCAAAGTCCTGGCTCACTGAATAGGAATTCTTTGTTACAGATTATCGAATATATGGTCAAGTTTTAAAAATCATTGTCGCTTAAAAGGTCATTTTAATCTGAGGTGTAACATGGTGTCAGCCATATGTATAACAAATTGCTTTCGTCATGCTGGTTTTGTGAGTTCTCTGAATATCGTGGATGACGAAACCGAGCAAGAAGACGATATTCCTCTATATGTTCAGATGGAAGATTTGAAAAATCGTGGCCATGCCATAGAAGGGGATGCTGAATATGGTTTGATTGATGAGGAAATTGCCACCACTTCTGAAGCTACAATTTCTGAAATTGTTTTACAAGTCGTGGACAATGACAGTGATACTGAGACTGTAGATGTAACCCAAAGGAAAGCCTTCAATGCAATAAATGACATGCGAATTTTTTTTACAAACCATGAGGGAGCTGAGGAACATTTAGAGAAGTTACAAAGTCTACAAAATATGGTTCGAAAAATGAAACCAAAAACGAGACGGACCTGCATATATGATTATTTTAAATAAGGTTAGATGTAATGTATGTATGTACACTTTTAAGAAATTTGTAAACAGTTTTATTTTAAATTAAGAAGTTTTTCAAAAATCTTACTTTCGTTAATTTTTTATTAATTCTGTTAAAATTTATTGACTTAAATATTTAATTTATGGCCGATCATTTTCGTTTGTATTACCATTTCTAAAAAATCATAATGGGTGCTATTTACATGCTTAGTTATGAGCTGCTAATGAATCGGTTAAAAGGTCACCCTGCTCATAAGGTCAGTTTTGCGATGTCCCTTAGGGTGACCTTATATCGAGGTCTGGCTGTATATGTATATATATATATGTATATATATATACTCAAAAATTTGACAAAAAAGTGCAATTTTTAAACTTGTAAACCATGTGATTATAAATCCCGATGAATAATTTTGAAATTGCATGAATATATAAATATGAATCACATGCATGATTTTAAATTAAGAGAATATGAATCCCGAAATGAGGCTTTTAAATCACGTGAATATGAAACTTTATACCGAACTTAAAAAATGCGAAAATACAAATCATGATGCATAATTTTTAGATCACATAAATACAAATCACGATGCATAATTTTCGAATAGCGCGAATATGAATCCCACTGTCTAATTTTTAAAGCACGTATAAATAGGAAAATTGATGTTTGATATTACAACCGCAAAAACGAATCACGACACTGGATTTTAAGCTCGCGAGAATATGACTCGCTACATAGGGTTTCAAAAGCGCGTAATTACAAATCGCGACATTGGATTTTTAAATCTCGTAAATAAGAATCGCAATTTGAATCGTCTGATTTAGAATCGCAACTTTCAACTTTTAAATCAGGTAAATACGAAAATCAATGTTTGAGGGAGGAATGAGTACTTCACTACTTCCGCTTCGCGGAAAATTTAATTCGTCATAAAATATTTTAACTTGTCAAAAAAAAATTTCAGCAGAAATTAGCGGAAAAAATTGAAAAATCTGAAAAAATGCGGAAATCCGCGAATCCGCGGAAGAATCACATCCTACAAAAATATTGAAACAAATACCTTTTGCAAAGTATCATATCGTTGAACAGTAGCTCCAAACTCATTTCTAACTCTCTCTGCTTGAAGTTTATGCTCCTGTAAAATTAAAGATAAATTCTAATAAAAAACAGCGTATAAGAAATTGAATTTAAAAATGAAATGAATAGTATTCCATATATTACATTGTCCCTAAAAATAAAATAACAATTGAAATATCTAACAGTAAAAAAATTAAAGAGAGATTGTAAAACTGTAAAAGATTAATAGAGGTATAGGAAATTTAATTGTTCCACAAATAAATAAAGTCCTATTTATCTCTGAATACAGAAATATCAAGAAAAAAAATAGATAGCTGTTCTCAAAGTAACAAAAAAAATTTTCAGAAAAAAGGGCATTAAATTAATTAGAAAATTTAACCTTGGTGTAGTTTTAAATAACCTTCCAAAATTATGTGATCTGAATTAAAATTTTTAAAAGTTACAAAAAAAATTTAGCAGTTGGCATTCTTATAAAAAAAATTAAAATAAGCTGTATGATACATCTAAGATGCATAAGCAACAAAAAAACCAGAGAATATAAAACCTTAACACACAATTATGGAATCCCCTTAATCAAGGTTTCCACTACCTTTATTCTTTATAATAAAAACTAAGGGTGCTTTAAGTGCTTTTAAAGCATCTTACATAATTTTTTTTTAAAGATTTACAAAAAGTTTCATTTTAGCAGAGAGCAAGGGTCCCTAACTGGAGGTACACATGCTGCAAAGGATATGAGAAAAGATCTTGAATGCCATGCAAATAAAATGCAGCTTTTTTATTAAGTGCCAAGTGCCGCCAATTTTTTGGCGACCTATTTAGATAGGCCGCCAAGGGGTAGGAGGAAAAAGAGAAACACGATCATGACATCACGACGGAAAGGGGGAAGATGGGGGAAAGAAAAGACGCTCTCTAAGAGAAGAGGACCAAAAAAGAACGGTGTTACCGTCGTGATATCAGGAACGGGGAGAAAATTAAAATAACAGGTACAGAAGATAGAGAAAAAAAATCGCATACAAAATGTAAACATAGTTCAAGAGTGAAAAATCTGGATTTTAAAGAAACAAGGCTAACGAATAGAAAATCAAAGATAAACATAAATAAACACTTACTTATGGAAACTCTATTCAAGTAGGATAATCAATTTTAAAATTGTTAAGCTTTAACTGTTAATTCTAAATGGAAAGTTTGGCAAACGTAATAATTTTTATATTNTAAAATTTTTAAAAGTTACAAAAAAAATTTAGCAGTTGGCATTCTTATAAATATAATTAAAATAAGCTGAATGATACATCTAAGATGCATAAGCAACAAACAAACCAGAGGATATAAAACCTCAAAACACAATTATGGAATCCCCTTAATCAAGGTTTCCACTACCTTTATTCTTCATAATAAAAACTAAAGGTCTTTTAAGTGCTTTTAAAGTATCTTTCATAAATTTTTTTAAAGATTTACAAAAAGTTTAATTTTAGCAGAGAGCAAGGGTCCCGAACTGGAGGTACACATGCTACAAAGGATATGAGAAAAGCTCCCCAATGCCATGCAAATAAAATGCAGTTTTTTTATTAAGATTAAAAAAGATATCTAAATTAAAATTAAACTACTTGAATCAATGGTATTGAAACTGGCCAAAAATTTCATTACTAATTCAAAAACATAACTTCTTTCATTTTGGTATATTAATAACAATTTTATTGCTTTTTTAAAAGGTTAGCTGCTATTATTTTACAAAAAAAGAGAAATTTTGGATTACTTATTTTTTTACTTTTGGGGTAAAAAAGTGAAACAAAAGAAAATCTTACTTTATCAAAAATTAACAATAACTTTCTTACATTAAAAAACTAGTATATGTAAACACGTATAACACAGTAAACCTATATTAAACATATATAAGCAAAGTAAACATATATACATATATAAAGAGGTCTATAAGTTATAACACGAAATAAAATTTCTAATAAAAACATTATAAAAACAAGTAATTTTAAGAAATTTAATAAAATAAGTTAATTATAAGACTGTACAGATGTGAGAAATTAAACATAAAATAATCAAATAAAAGAATTGGAATATGTAGGAACAAGTAACATTCTCAAGCAATGCCATTATATTTTATAAAAACACACAAATAACCAAAAAGAAGAATAGGGTATACTTTGTACTACGCAGACTGAAGCAAAAAAATAAAGCGAAATAAAGTTCAGAAATGGACATACTATAATAGTTTCAGTTCATTAAACAAGAAAATCCTCTTTAGTGTCGAAATACCAGATCAAATTAGAAAGGTAGAGTAAATTATTTGCAAAATGGCTTGATTATAGGAAAAGAGAAACAATTTTGAACACAATAATAAAAAGGGTGATAAAAAAAATCAGGTGTACCTTTGAACATTTTACCTAATTATCTGAAAATCGGTCCCCAAATAGTCAAAATTTTGAAAAGTTTTCTCTCTTGTAAACAAACTTAATTTCATCAACCTCAAACACTCTATTGCTAATATTAAGAACTTGAGTACAAATTACTCCTCTATGTGGTCTTCCGTACATTGAACAAACTAAACAGAGCCTTAAATTTTGACTTAAAGAGCATGAAAAGAAAGTTCAAAATAAGGATATTAAATGATCTTCCAAACCCTTACATACTTGAAAATAAAATAAAATGCTTGAGTTTTCTACTGCTAAAACCATTCAACACTGCTCTTCATCTACAGAGCTTGATTTCTGGGAATCATTTCATATTTTAAAAATTCTAATAATTTAGTTAACGACTTTCTAGCATCCTATTCTTTCCAAAATTTGGAAATCTATTCTAATTTAATCCTTTGTACCCTGGGGTTTTGCAAAAAATAACCTCCTTACACCTGTTTTGTATCACCTTTTTATATCCTTGCTCAAATGTGCTTTTTTGTCCCTATGGGTTAAACCACTTGCGTGTGTTTATCTATTTACTTTTATACTTACATCTGATGTCCATACACTGAGAAAGGTTATTGCTTAGATAACCAAAACAATAAAAAGTCCATTTTTTGTACTTAATTTGCACTTTATTCATATTTTTCGCTTCAGTACACATAAATGTATGAAAGGTTTTATATCAACAAAGACATATGAAAATAATTCTGATATATCACTTACTCTGGCTCCTTTAGTAACAATATTTGTTAGATCTTTCAAACGTTGAGTGGTAATAGATACCAGATCTTTTGTACTTTGCCTGGTATTATGTCTGAAATAAAATAGAATATAGAGTAGAATAAAATATAAAATACAAATAGAAAAATCTACATAAATTATTTAGTTTCATTTTCATAATAAAAGTATTTATTAAAAAAATTTTCATCAGAAAATGGAATGTTAAATTTTAGTTAACTTAGAAAAAGTATTGCAGTGGTATAATAGCCTGAAAAATTGATTACTTCTCTTTCTTCTGTTACTGCATTCAAGTTACAAATCCAGTGAATAATATGTAAAAACTCTCACCAATGTTAAATATCTTATACATATTTCCATATTAATTTCTAAATACATTATCTAAATCTAAACTAAAGTTACTTTAATTCAATTAGTTATTAATATTTAATACAATTTTGTTTCATTTTAATAGTTGTTTTTCAGCTGCATTTGCACCTTCTTAACAATGTTTACTTCAATTTAAATTTACTTTACATTTTACAATTTGTGTCATTGAGTTGCAAAACTGACCATCTCCTTAAGATATTAAAATGTATATTTTTTAAGTTTTTAGGTTTTAAATAAACCTTGCCATCAACTGAACACAAAAAAAAAACATAACTACTAAATTTAAACAAATTGACACTTTATATGCTCATGCAGATCAAGCTTTACTGCAAAACCAGCCGAGTACTTAGGACAATTAAATGCAAAACTGACCAAATTCGCCATGCGTCACTTTTGATCAAAGTTTTGTAATTACTTATTTTTTAGCATTATAGCACTAAGTTACTGTTTCCTGTTTTCTTTTCTTTATTTTACTTTAAAGAAATGAGTGGATGCAGTGTGTTCTAATAAATAAACAAAAAATCCTACATTATTTAAAGCAAGTGATGTAATTTATTTACCATGTTTTTTTTTCTATATATAACTCAAAATTTAAAAAAGTTATTCATGGACATTATTTGAACATTTATTAAAATATTTATTCATCACTAATTGATATTTTAGTAATCAACTATAACTATAAACGATAACATGGTAACAATAACCATAACTAAGTAGTAAAAATATTTATTCATATCACATTACGCTAGCTATATCAAATATCAATTTCAATCACCACCATTGTCAGATTTTTCTTTTTAGTAATAAATATCTTCTGTATCACATTCCTTCAATAAAATGAGTTTTGTAATTTTAAAATCAGTTTTAAAGTTTGCTATTGTTTCCAAAATTATTTTTCATTGGTTACTTTTCTGAAGACCTATCCTTTCCTATTTTCTTATCAATTTGAAGGCTGTATTTAACATAGCTCAGTTAAAAAAAGATAACAGAAATATAGTCTTTGAGGTGTTCATATAAATGAAACATTCAGACACTAGATAGATGATCAATTGTGAATATATCAACTCCATAGGTATGCCTTGCTTTATTTCTTTTCTGAGAATTGTGGGAGGTTTACTTTTAAGGAGGTAATAACCAAATTTCCTTTTAAGTAATGGGTAGGTCTTAAGGGTGAAAACCTATTAATTGAAACCGATAGAACTAAAAGCTCCTATTCAGTATCATATGACTAACTTGAGTCAATAGGAAAATTATATTCATTTATCTGTAGCTACATCTAGAATCATATATTTATATCAAACTTTTTCATACATTCCTTTAACATAGAAAAAATATTTTTTGACGTTTAAATAAATATCCTTGTAGATAGTTATTGCAGATCATTTAATTTTTTCTATATAATTGAAAATATTCTAAAAACAATTTTATGATGTTCAACTTTGTTATTAGGGTACTCTTCCAGTAAACACATAATTTTTTCAATTCAATTTGTCCACCTAACCGAGCTTTCACTGTATATAAAATAAAAAAATACAATTTAAAATATATATACGATCTATATAAAATAAAAATATCTTTTCTAGGAAGAAAAAACTCATATTTCAATTCTTCAATATATATAGATTTAAAATACGCAAAAATTGAGCAGTCCACAAATTGAGCAGTCAGAAGGTTAAACCAAAGAGCTTTTAAAGCTTTAATTTCTATTTCATTTTAGCTAGTGTTCTAGAAAACCAGATTATTTTTCCCAATATTTTCTCATCTTTGTAAATTCATTACTGACAATAAACCTCATTTAAGGTTAAAAATATTTGTATCGTGCATAATTAAAAAGAAAAGCTTGAGTTAATTTGCTATCTTTTTTTTGTTTCAAATTAGTTTTGATTTTAAATCGGTATTAGTTTTATAGAAACATGTTTTAAAAGTACAAGGATAAATAAAATATTAACACGTGTTAGTAAATGAAATGTAAAACATTTTAAATCCTTACAAATTTTAATCTTTAAAAAATTTAAAATATAAATTTAAAATTCATATTTTAATAATTTTTATAATTAAATAGAATAAAATTTAAAACATTTTAAATCTTTACAAATTTTATGAATTTAAATAAATTTTTATTTCAAACAANATCACTTACTCTGGCTCCTTTAGTAACAATATTTGTTAGATCTTTCAAACGTTGAGTGGTAATAGATACCAGATCTTTTGTACTTTGCCTGGTATTATGTCTGAAATAAAATAGAATATTGAGTAGAATAAAATATAAAATACAAATAGAAAAATCTACATAAATCATTTAATTTCATTTTTATAACAAAAGCATTTATCGCAAAATTTTTCAACAGAAAATGGAATATTTAATTTCAGTGAATTTAAAAAAAGTATTTCAGTGGTATAATAGCCTGAGAAATTGATTACTTCTCTTTCTTGTGTTACTGCATACAAGTTACAAAAGCAGTAAATATTCTATAAAAATTCTCACCAATGTTAAATATCTTATACATATTTCCATATTAATTTCTAAATACATCGTCTAAATCTAAATTAAAGTTACTTTCATTCAATTAGCTATTAATATTTAAAACAATTTTGTTTCATTTTAATACTTGCTTTTCAGCTGCATTTGTACCTTCTTGACAATGTTTACTTCAATTTAAATTTACATTCTACAATTTCTGTCATTGAGTTGCAAAACTGACCATCTCCTTAAAATTTAAAAATTTATATTTTTTTAGTTTTTAGGTTTTAAATAAACTTTGCCATCAACAGAACACAAAAAACCATAACTACTAAATTTAAACAAATAGACACTTTATATGCACTTGAAGATCAAGTTTTACTGCAAAACCAGTCAAGTACTTTGGACAATTAAGTGCAAAACTGTCCAAATTCGCCATGTGTCACTTTTGATCTAAGTTCTGTGATTACTTATTTTTTAGCATTACAGCATCTTTTTTTATTACTATACCCACTAAGATACTGTTTTCTTTTCTTTTTTTAACTTTGAAGAAATGAGTGGAAGTAGTGTGTTCTAATAAATAAAATAAAAAATCCTACATTATTTAAAGCAAGCAATTCAATTTGTCCACTTAACCGAGGTTTCACTGTATATAAAAAATATAAGTACAATCTAAATTATAAATATAATCTATGTAAAAAAAATCTTTTCTAGGAAGAAAAAATTCATATTTCAATTTTGCAATATATATATATATAGATTTAAGATTTTCAAAAATAGAGAAAGTATGCTTCATACATATTTTATGGTAACAGTATTTGAAAAAACTCTAAAGAATAACGAGAGCATACATTTTGTCTCTAAGCAAAGGAGTATCTGTTGGAGTTCCAACTTCCTTTGATGCTTTCTCAAGAGCTGTGGCTGTCAGAATGTTAAACCAAAGAGCTTTTAAAGCTTTAATTTCTATCTCATTTTAGTAAGTGCTCCAGAAAACCAACTTATTTTTCCCAATATTTTCTCATCTTTGTAAATTCATTGCTGACAGCAAACCTCATTTGAGGTTAGAAATATTTGTATTGTGCATAATTAAAAAGAAAAACTTGTGTTAATTTGCTATCTTTTCTTTGTTTCAAATTAGTTTTGATTTTAAATCGGTATTAGTTTTATAGAAACACATTTTAAAAGTACAAGTATAAATAAAATATTAACACGTATTAGTAAATAAAATTTAAAACATTTTAAACCTTTACAAATCTTATGAATTCAAATAAATTTTTATTTCAAACAATGCATATTCTTTAGGTAAAAAATAAAAAGAGAGACTTTCATATTGAGTAAATGCTAAAATAAGTTTTGGGGACCCTTAAAAATGTAAAATATGTGTATTGTAGCAAAAAAAAACGAGCTAGAATTTCAAATTAAAAATTTAAATACTGTTTTTCATCAATAAAAATTACTTTCTTTTAACATAATATTTTTTTAAAAATTATCAGTAAAGTTGAGAAAAAAAAACATTTCTAGAACAAATGACATTTTGAAGATTTGGGATTTGGAATAATTTTCCAGTTTATCAATTTTAAAGCAGCAATCGAGTAATTTTTCTCCAAAGCTCATCAAAATTTACACAAAAAACTGGTTATAATAGCATGTAAATGTGAAGATGAGAGCAGTAAGAAAGAAAGAAAAAACTAAAGCTTTGCTTATTTTCGTCTGCAAGATCAAAATAATACCACTCCGATTCTGTACTAAGTTAATACTTTATATTTATGGGAAAATGCATCGACTATAACTTAACCAAACATTTATTAACACATACAGGTCAGAGCAGTTAACACAAATGAAGAAACCATCTACCTCGTAAGCTCTCAATCACATTTGCTGTGCAGGAAGTACATGAATATCTAGCAGCTGTTTTAGTTAACAGGTTAGAAGGTGCACTATGAGAAGCAAAATGAGATGACCACACATACAGTGAGAAAGTATGCTTCCTATATATTTTAAGGTAATAGTACAGGGTGTTCCAAAATTATCTTTACAACTTCAAAAATTCATAACTTCGAACATAAACAAAATATTTATATTTTGTCTTTTGCATGTATTACTGCAACTAATAAAGTTTTTTTCCCATAGGCTGAAAAGTTTTAAGTGAGGATGTGGACACCACAACAGAAAGTTCAATGCGTCTCATGGCCGTATTCGCTCCACATTTTCCGGACTTGTGCTGGGTCGTCCGGCTCCACTTTTATGCAATACTGATCCGGTGCTCATGAAGCTTGTGTGCCATGCACGGATGGAGGGTCTGGATGGTGGGTCTCTTTGGAAATTTGTCCTGAAGTTCCGTTGAACCTGTGTATCTGATTTCGTCTCTATGAACCATGAGACGCATTGAGCTTTCTGTTGTGGTGTCCACATCCTCACTTATAACTTTTCAGCCTATTGAAAAAAAACTTTATTAGTTGCAGTAATACATGCAAAAGACAGAATAAAAATATCTTGTTTATGTTCGAAGTTATGAATTTTTGAAGTTGTAAAGATAATTTTGGAACACCCTGTATA